AAAAATATATATATATATATATACTTTAAAAAGACTGACGGTATTTGTTTTTAATACCTGACAAAGCCCTTGTTCATGCACTATCTCTGACTCCTCACGATAGCTCCGTGATAAACCGACCACCGTACCAGTTGAACAGGTGAGGAAACTGAGGTTCAGATCAGATGATAAGAGCAGAGCCTAACTCAAGTTCATCATCTCTTCCTGCTGTTCCACGCTGACTCTCTGGTCCTGTCACCTGTACTGCCTAAATGCCATCAGCCACCCTGAGAACTCTACACTGGGGAGTTCCACACTAGCCAGACATTGTGCAGTAGCCGTGCTGGGAGGCATCACACTACAGAGGCTGAAGGAACTAGATCCTGTTGCCAGGCCTCCATCCTTTAATGTTTAGACACCTCACCATGGCAGCTTCTTTTCCTCCATTCCACCCTACACAGCTGACAATAACTGTGCTGGAGAAACACTGATGATGTCATTCCCTTGCTCGAAAACCTTCAATAGCTCCCTGTGGTTCACAGATCAAACTAGTTCCCATAGGCAGTACAAGTCCAAATGCAGCACATTCCTTTTCAAGAAACTCCCCAACCTTATCACCTCCCATCCTTTTTCTGGCGTGGCTGGGCTAGTCTCCTCCTAGTTTCCTGGAACACCACCATCTTCTGTAAACAGCATTCAGACGGGGAACCCAGAACCACCACAACATTTCAGAGCAGTCACAGGTGGAAGAGAGACCTGAGACCCAAAACTCACAAGGGGCAGGGCAGGGACCTCTTTACACTTCAAGAACCATTTTGAATAGGAAATACTCTTTGCTACATTTTCAAATTACATTTGCTAATCTGGCCCTAAATGTACAAGTTCTGTGAAATGGTCTGAAGAGTTCAGATAATTCAAACGTTTTTGGATCCTAACACTTCCCTCCAATGGCATCTCATGAAAGTAAAATCCAAATCTTACATAGGCCCTTGCCTACCCCATCCCCCATCACTCTCCCATTGTGTTCTGCACTCATTCATACTGGCCTTCTGGCCTCTTCACAAACCCTGTAAGGGCTTTCCGTCTCAGGGCCTTTGTCCCTGCTGTTGCCACTGCCTGGAATGTCCTCCCTCCTGATGATGTCTGATCATCACCCAGGTTTTACTCAAATGTCTTCTCTTCAGAGAAGCCTTCCCTGACCACCCCCATCTACCAGTCACTTTCTACCACATTGCTTTTTTCCTTTTTTCATAAAAGAATCATCTCATCCCTAAAGAATGATCTCATTATTTATAATTATCTCATTTACTTATTAAGTTTGTATACTGTCTGACTCCTTACAGAATATCAGCTGGGCCCGAGCAGGGATGTTGTCAGCTTGCTACAAAGCTCACATAGCAGTGCCTAGCACCTACTAGGCACTTGATATGGATTTACTGAAGGAATGCATGAAATGCAGGCATAACTTTTTTCTTTGGCTGCACCCTGTGCATGATTTCGCTCGTCCCCAATCAATAGGCAGGGAACAGGGAGGCCCGAATACATCCAGCACCATCCAAACTGGGCTGGAACAAAGACCTCACTCCTCCTCTGGGGCTCAGCTGGTCCAGGAGACCTGCTGCTGACATTTCACCAAAGAACTCATGCAACGAGACTGTCTTCTATTAGTGAGAATTATTTTCACACCTCCCACAGGGGGAAACCATGATTTTATGAAGGTAAAACCACATTGTGATTAACACTTAATCAGGATTCTGTCTATATTATAGCTCTGCAAGGGAAAAAAATAGTTGGGGGGCCTTAATATCACTCTAGTAAATGTTACAATAAGGGTGTTCCTGACACGATTTTCTTATTAGGGTCCTTCCCTGTAAGTTTTATTGCATTTAATTAAAAATTATTGCTAAAAGAAACAGCTGCAGATGGTCTTATTTTAAGTCAGAAAATTAAAAACTGAATATTCTCATCAGTCAATTTCAACAAGAAGCCCGGCCGCATGCATTAGGAATGTGATGGTTTTGAGATTATAATAATTTTTATGGCATTTCCAGGTCCTTTCAATGAAACTTAATGAAAGCTCTGCATGAGTTCATTTGTCAAAAGCATAGTAATCATAGGAAGGCTCCCAGTTTACAGGCAGATACAAAAATGCCAATGAAAACTATGGTTGGGGATTCGCCGAAAATCCAGCCACGCAGCTCTCAGCACCAATGGTCAGCAGGAGGCTTAGATGCAACTCTGCCACATCTCCCCCTCCCGCCAAAAGGATTTCGCGCTGAGGCTGTAAATCACCTTTGTTTTACAATGATATGAACATTTGTTGCTGGAGTACAAAATACTTTTATTTTGTAAAAAATGAAAGTCAGGTTTCAGTCTCTCAAGGAATCACTTCAGCAAAATATTTATTGTATTCTGAAAATTCTGGGGGTTAGGGAGGAGGGAAGAAGGCACCCTTTGCTAGATTTTGTGATGGATTTCAGAATTTAAATGGCAGTCACCAGCCTTGGTCTGGTTTGCCCAACTTTATGACTTGGCTTGTATCCTTTAACTTCTTTTTTTAAGGACTTTTTTGTTTTTGTTCTGTTTTTTACCATGCAACAAAACTTTTATTAACACTCTGAACAGATTCAGTTATTACTGAAGTGGTAATTTCTAAACTTAAATTGGGGCAAATGGCTGGAATGCAGAGTAGTGCCATCACTGGGCACTGTGAATGCAAAACTGAGGAATTAACAGCCACCCCTCAGACGGAGGACCAGGTGCAGGGTGGACTCTTTCTGGATGTTGTAGTCAGAAAGAGTGCGGCCATCTTCCAGCTGCTAGCCTGCGAAGATGAGACTCTGCTGGTCAGGAGGGATGCCTTCCTTATCCTGGATCTTAGCCTTCACATTCTCAATGGTATCACTAGGCTCAACCTTCAGGGTGATGGTCTTGCCGGTCAGGTCTTCACAAAGATTTGCATTTCTACCTGTTAGCGAGTGTGAAAATACCGCAAGTCCAATCCCGTCGAGTCTCAACAACGACACAGCCCCTACAATGCCTGGCGCTTCTCAGGACTGGATTCTTATTATTCCCTGCTTTGTCTCTTATTGAAAACCAACTCAAATCTTTTATTTATTTGGGACCAGCCAGACTATCACAGGTAAGTAAAAGAATGAGAAGAGAAAAGCAAAGGCAAACATAAGCTAGCCCTGGAGTGGACACTGGAGAACTGGGTTGCTGTGGGCATTCTGGAGACAAGAACTCCACTCCTCCCCTTCCCACTGCTGCAGCCCTGCTTGGTCTTCATATTCTCTGGAGGGGACCATTGCAACAGCCTCTTGATTAACCTACCTGCTTCTCATCTCTCCATCCCCTCTGCTCTCCACCCTGTCACCCAGGTGTCTGTGACAATGCACCATCCCCATTGCAGCAGCCCCCGCTGAAAACCTGCTCGGATTCCCCACTGCCCAGGGGTATGTGCTAACTCTCCAAGCCAATATATGAGGCCCTTCTCGGCTGGGTCCCAACCTGCCTTCCCAACTTCATCTCACAGATGTTCACACTGAGCTCCATCTGCACACTTCGAGGTTCTTTCTTATCTCCAAACTCATGCACAGGCTTGTGCTCTTCCTGGACTGTTTGTCTCCATCACGAGCTCTTATTACTGTGGCAATACCCACCTCAAGTGTCTCTCAGATAGACTCCTCCAGGACTGTTTGGAGGGACCTCTAACAAAGCCTTTATCACACCAGGTTCTAATGGCCTCAATCAGTCTCTCTCCCCAGCCAGACTGAAAGACCTTGAGGGCAGGGACCTTCATCCCTCTAGTACCTGGAACAGTAGCTGACAATTAGTAGATGCTGAACAAATGTTAGAAGAGGGAGTGAGTGAATTAGCTGATGCAAGGTTTGGTGGTAAGAAGTAGAAATTAGAAAAAGATGGTGTCTGAGTTTAGTCCTTAAGTCTTTCAACCCAATCTCCTTCATATATTCTCCATGTCTTCAGATGATCTGAACCATTTTTTCAAACTAAAGATATCAAAGTACCTTCTGAAGCAAGATAAAATAATTTTCATTACAGCTTTACCAGCTAAAAACTACAGCCTGAAGTTTCTCTGTATGTCCTCACACCTTTCTCCTCTCCTGCTCCAGATGTCAAAATCCTACTTTTCCTTTAGTGTCTATTCAAATGCCACCCTGTCTTTGAAGCCATCCCATCCTCCTCTGGACTCCTACTCGTCTGGTCCTAAAGCATTTTCTACTCACATTTCAGGGACCCTCTTTCCCCTACCCAGTGATGGTGTGACCATCTCCTTCCATACTTCACTCGACACAGTATGGCAATATGGCAATGGTATATTCTAGGGGTTGAGCATATGAACATTCACTGTAAAAACAACTTTTCTATAAGTCTGAATGTTTTCATTATGAAATGTTAGAAAAAAGTGACACCAGAGATCTCTGCTGATACATAATGCTGTGATTAACATCGTGCAAAACAACAACAACAAACATCCACAAACACAGTTTTGAGGTTTTAAATGAGATACTTAGGACAAATCAGTTTTTGTAGTGTTTTACAGCAATGGGTGTTTTATAAGTATATACAAAGCACTTAGCACTGTGTTGCCAAAGATAGGTACGTAATAAATTATATTTCTTTCCCAAACCCTTGTGAAGCTCAAAATTCTACTCCCATAGAATCATAAACCCCTGGCCATCAGCATACATTTATTAAGCTCCTAGTGCATAACCAACATACTGAGGTGCCATGGATATTCGGAAGTCAAGCCTAGGTTCCCGCAACCAAGACTACTGACTGAAGACATAAAACAACCTATTTGAAAAGTAGGAATATTAGACTGTATCTCTAGTCCTTTTTTCCCCCAAGAGGGTCAATTCAGGGAAAAAGAATACAATTTAATGGATGACAAAACTTTTGTTGTATACCATGGGGAAAATGTACATAGGCAATGTCTGTATATAAAATTTTGTTTTATAAGATAGAAAATTGTTAATAAGAATATTATTATAGCTCTTAAAATGTTATTATCTGTGCATACAAATCTCAGAGGAAGTAACTGCACAGAAGAAACTTTATCACCATCCATTAGCGCTCTGATGAGCTGCTGCTCTGATGCAGGGGTCCCTATGGGCTCTCTGAATTCTATTATATACTCTACCCTTTCTTGAAGAAAAGTACTTTTAGTGGAAAAAGAACTTGGATTTAAATAACATTGAATCACACCACTTTCCAGTCCTTATGAATCCTTTGGATTATGCCAAGTAGAAAGTCTCTGTGTGGTGCCAGGATGTCTTTAACACCTCTCCCTGTTTAACAAAGGGACCAAGCCTTCAGCTCACAGTCTTGGCAAGTAATAACCTCAAGCGAGATTTTACCTGTTATTTTCTTTTCCTTTGTATCTTATTTGTACAACTGCCTTCTATTTATGGCAACTGAAACTGTTTTTCCACATCCTACCAGGACATAAAATCCCTTTCTAAATATTTTATTTTTGCAAAATAAAAAAGATGGACTGCTTGAAAGACAAAAAGTAAGCGAGAATATAGGCAGTATAACAGAAATATAAAGGTGGTACAGGAAAGGTGAATGGTTGAGGAATACAAACCTACTCCAATCTCACCATTTCACAGATGAGCAAACTGTGGCCTAGCCCTTTCCAAGATCCCACAGGAAGTCAGTGACTGAGTGGGCTTTGAACTCACGTCTCCTGGTGCACGGTCCTATGTTCTTTCAGGATGTTGATATTTATTTGGCTTCTATCTCTGATCCTCACACTCAAGCAAGGTATGGGGCAGGACAAGTAGGAGGAGGAAGGAACTGCCTCTCGCCTCTGTTCCAACCTGAAGCACCCCTGTCTGAGATCAGCAGCACCCCTCCACTCGATTCTCAAAGCTCTCATTCAGGCGAAGCAGCAGGGGAGCCCCCACCCCCTTGGCAGTCCCTTGTGTCTCTCAACTTGATGTGTCTGAAACATCCCTTGCCCAGGCCTGTTCCAGCCCAAAGCAGGGATTTTTCTCCCCCTCTGCTCCCATCTGTTTCATGCAGGAAAATGGAAGAAAGCTTTGCTCACTGATTGATGTCCAAGAGGATGTGGTTCCTGCATGGGAGATTTATCCCAGCCAGTCTGGCCTTTGGTGAAATAGTATCAGAGAGGGGGACAGTGCTTTGGAAATTCAGAGTCTGACAGTTAGGATACTCAACCAAAGCCCCAGGCTGTAGCATCAAATGTGAGATATGCAGGGAAAGCACCTAGCACAGTGCCTGTCACACAGTAAACAATCAAGGTAAGGTAACATTAACATTCCCTTATTGTCGTGTTAGTTTGGGTGAAGAAATCTTTTTACTTGTTTGTTTGGACAAATTACAGATCAAGACATCGGGGCCTTTGCATATGGCCAACGCCTGTGCAGTGCACAACTCCAGAGGGCACCACCATATACCGACTAAAAGGTAAATGCGACCCAGGGTCGCACAGTGTGCTGCATGCACAGCCCGACTTGGCATCCTGCAGCATAATTCACTGCAAACTCCTGACGGAGTCAGGAAATCTGAGTCCTACCGCTGATTTCTCCACTAAATGGCTGAGAGACCCTTGGCAAGTCCCTTTCCTTCTCTGTGCCTCTATTTCCACCTCCGTAACAGGACCAAATGTCGCCTGAAGGTCCCCTCCAGCTATACCATTCTGTAATTCTACAGTAGATTTCAATTTCTGAAGAGCTGTCACACAAAAGAGGAAACAGGCTCACCCACCTGGCTCGAAAGGGGAAAGCCAGCATGAGTGAGTTAGGGATATTAGAGGGAGGTAGTTTTTGCCTCAGTCAGAAAGAAAAACGTAATCAGTGTACCTAGCAACAGAAAAGGCAGCTCTGGAAGGTAGTGAGCTCCCTGTAGCTTGTGGAATTTAGGTAGAGATTGTTAGAAGTGGGAGGCTTGACCATGTACCCTTTGAGATGCTTTCCAGCATGGAGATTTTATGATTTCAAAGCTTGGTTCTATTTTCATTAATGCTAAGAGGCACTCAGCTAGGGTTGGGTGTCATCAAACCCTGCTGATAACCATTAATGAAATGATCTTGTCGGTTCAGTGCCTCTTGCCCTCTAAGAGTTCCCACACATCCACATTCTCCAAACTGAATTTGGTCCCTCCAGCAGTGTTGGCATTTACCTCTGTTCCAGCAAACAAACCTTTTCATCCTATAAAGAACTAATTAATAATAGTCTTGCCCAGGCCTGGGGTAGGGAGAAGATAGAGCCAGCGTGGGGAACCATGTAAAAAAACTCAAGAGAATAAACCATAGAAACACTTCTAGCATCTATACTCCAGTGACAGCGAATGCTAATTGCAAATCATTCTTATCTATTCATTACTGCAAGTCCCCTAGGAAGTCCTGGTAGCAACAGCTGTGTGGGACTGGGCTAAGTTAGTGCACACAAGAGGAAAGAATCAGAATTTCCTTTAAAATCACAACCATTTTGGCTTTTCATTAATTCAGATCAGGTAGCCCCAAAAGAATGTAACTGGTTGAGAGTGAATTGCATCGCTGTTAAGTTGTATTCATAATGTACAAGAAACAGCAAGATTTGGCAATTATTTACTTGGGATGATCAATAAGGGCGTTCAGTCAGTCTTGGGAAGGTGGGGTCAGAAAAACCCCTATTTCAGTGTTTCACTCTCATTTCCAAGGTGAACAAGTCCAAAATAAAAAAAATCCGCTTGGATGTACCTCTTAAAGACTTCTATTCAGAAATTTAGCTCAGGGCACCCTTGGCTTTTTAAACAATTTAAATAATCTTTTCTAGTTCCCTTCAATAGAGTGTATATTTACACAATAAAAAGGTATCAATCTCAATTTAGGGTATTTTCCTGATGGTGAAAGATATTTAGTTTGGCAAGATTCCAGAACCTTCTCTTTGGTGACTTTCCCAGAGAGGAGTAGCAAAGCTATCTACCTAGATCAGAAATCTCCCACAAATATTGCAAATACACATGCTCACATTTGTACTGAACTTAGCATTTTAGATCATACTTTCACATAGATTACCTATTCTGATCTCAAACACTCTGCCATGAGGTAGCATGAATCCCATTTCACAGATGACGTAACTGAGGCTCAGAGAGGTAAAACCACTCATCCCGAGTCACTCGGACAGTTATACCTGCTAAATAAACAACATAGAAAACGAAATCACGGTACCTTTCTGCTTCCTGGTCTGCACTCTGCTGCTTGCTCTCAAAGGTGTTGAAGCTGCTCATGTCCACGTAGCCGTCATTTTCGTTTGCTGTAGACAGGGCTCTGCTCTGATCTTCAAACAGCTTTGTAAATGTCCCAGCCCTCGCAGGCCTCCGGGGTGGAATCTGGATATTCTCATAGTCCGAGTTCATAGCTGGAATGTTCTCATAGTCCGAAGTGTCGGCATTGGGAAATGAGATAGACCGGGGCTTGGTCAGGGGCAGGGGCAGAAAGGGGGGCCGGGAGCGGTCTTCGAAGGACTCCACTCGGGATACTGTCCTGCTGAAGGGGATGCCTTTCCTCTTGCCATCCCTGTAGAAGATGAGGGAGGAGGGTGATTCGGAAGCCCTGAGCTTGCCAGTCCGGGTCTTAAGCTGAGGGGAGTTGCTGAGGCTCCTGCGGTCAATTTCCAGGAGCCGGGACGGCCCGTGGTAGCTGGATTCTGAAGAAGACCTGGAAGAAGACACATTGACCTCCACGTGTACTTTGTTCTCAGTCTTCTTCTTAAACGTCAGCGCCAGAAACCGCTTAAAGGATGACTTCTTCTTCTTGCTGTGCTTGTCTGGGGGCTCGCTCTCAATCAGGAGTGAGGGAGAGCTCTTTGTGATAGGCTTCTTGGTGATGCAGGCCAGGTCAAAAGGTGGTGGGATATCGACCATGGAAGATGGTGTTGAAGTGCCACTGGATGGAAGGTGGTTCCTCTGGGAGAAACTCCCAGAGGAGCCAATCACACAGGGCAGAGAGAGGTTGTCATCCTTCCTTTTGATTCGATGGTCGGCTAAGCCAGATGCCTCTGGCTCCCGGTACACGGAGACTGGGATCTCTCGGCCCTCCACGGAGAATGAACGAGGGTACAGAGTGAAGGCTCTGGGCTTTGCTGGTAAGGCCCTGCTGACTTCTAGTGGCTTCCCCTCCAATGACAGAACCATCTTTCTTGCCTCCTCGGTGGCACCCCCAATGCCAATGGCTGACGATGAGACAGCTTCTGGTCCAGCTTCTTCTGGGACAGTTTCTGGGACATAGCCAGGCACTTTCCCAGAGTGGGGCCTGGCCCTTGAGATGATGTTCTTTCTGTCGATGGGCATCAGGCCGCCCTCAGCATCAGAGTTCAGTTCTTCCTTTGAGCCATAACCACTTAGGGCATCTGATGCAGCCTGTGTCTCGGGTTTTTCTCCCTCTCCAGGGTCGGTTCCGCACACCAAGTCGACTCCCAGCTCATAGGGGTTGGTGAGCGCATCGTCTGTGGCATCCTCATCCTCTGGCAAGACCAGCACGTTAGGGACAGAGAAGCCCTCCCCAGTGCCGTCTTGCAGGGAGCCATGCTGGCCACGCAACGTCCCAGCCACGGTGTCCTGGTCTGCACATTCCCCTGGCTTTGATTCCTGCTCCGACTCTAAGCCTTTCGCTGACTCAGAAAAAGAAGAGTAGCTTTCACCACAGAAAGAGGTGCTCTCTGTAGGAAAGAACTCATAGGGACTCCCTGAGAGTGAAGTCACAAAGTCGTCCACACAGTCATTCTCGAAAGGAATGATCTGGCAGCTCTCCTCAGCAGGTTCATCCTGCACGGAGTCCTCACTTTCTGCAACGTCTTCTCTCGCCTCTTGGATGACTGCTGCCATTTCTTCTTGGTCAGTTTTCTCCTCTTGGTCAGGTGGTTCATCCTGGTCATCCCGGTTGCCCCCGCTTGTGGCATCTTCACACTCCTCCTCGGAGACGTCAGGGTTGTCTGTGACTATCTCCGCCTCCTGGATGCCCGTGGCCAATCCCTCATTCTCCAGAGGTTCCTCACTGGTATCTTCAGCACCCTCCTCAGTGGGCCTGTCAGATTCCCCATACTCATCTGGCACCCCTGGTTCTGTCTTGGCACAGCCTTCCTCACCATCCTCCTCTGCCTCCCTGGGTGTCCCAAGAGGCCCAGGCTCCTTGCCAGCTGATTCTGGATCCTCTACATCAACTTGAGTTAGAATGATATCGCTCGAAAAGACTGCCTCTCCATCCCAAGGGCCCCTATCCTCCAGGTTGTACATGTTGTGTTCCTCCACCAGCTTCTCTTCCTCCTCATTTGTGAGCTTCTGCTCCTCTTCCTCTGGGTCTTGGGCGCAGTCATCAGCCCTCACCTTCTCAGGAATGGGGGCTACTCCTTCATCAGTCTCTCCACCCAGTGCCATTTCGGCTGGGGCTGCCACTTCTTCAGCAGCTCCTGTCCCCTCCTCCTCACCTTCCTCCTGGGGTTCCTCTTCCCCAGTGGCATCCGGAGGCACCGTGACTGCATTCTCCACAGAGTCCCCATCCCTGGGTTCATCCTCTGTCGGTGGAGCCCTGGGGACCACGATGTAATCCTCATCGGCCTCGGCCTCAGAGCACTCCAGGTTGGACTGCTGCTCTTCATAAAGTCCCTTATCTACGCAGAGCAGCTTCCCATTGCTGCATTTGTTCAAGCTGTTGATCATGTACACACTGGCCCTCCACTCATTGGGGGTGTCCAGCCTTGGTTTAGGGGCGATGGGGGGTTTTGGCCCCCTCGACATGGAGTTGGGACTGTGAAGACTGTCAGGCCTGGGTGACGAAGGGAATTTGGGTGCAGTCACTGGTGTGAGGGGACTGGCATTCTTTGGCTTGGGAGCAACTGGTGGTTTTGGTGAATCTAAAGGATGAAAATAGAGAAAAGGAGACAAAAAGTACAGTTACCTTTATTTCCACTCCCACTTATTATTTTTGAGAGAACACTGAAGATGGTTTCCCAACCGCCCATGTGAACCCAATCTACTATGTTTTGGCTTAGGTTTATGCCTCTATATTATCTTTAAAATCCATTGACCTTCCACTAAAAATTCATTCTGAAAACAAGGTGACTAGACATTTCTTCTATATAAAGTCCAGCTAACAAAACCCGATCGAATGGCATCTTGTGCCCCTCAAATAAAGGTGTGCAGATACTGTGCTCATTCATTCAACAACTATTTATTAAACACTTTTTTGTGTGCCAGGTACCCAGGAGACAATATTGAACTTGACAGTCACCATCCCTGCTGCCCTGATAGAGCTTACATTTATTCTACAATTAACTCATTGGATACCTGTATCTATTCCATAGCACTATATACAGTAGGGTCTTCTAGGGTCAAGAAGAGAAGGACACCGCCCAGCCGGCATGGCTCAGTGGTTGAGCATCGACCTATGAACGAGGAGATCACGGTTCAATTCCTGATCAGGGCGCATGCCCGGGTTGTGGGCTTGATCCCCAGTAGGTGGTGTGCAGGAGGCAGCTGATCAATGATTCTCTCTCCTCATTGATGTTTCTATCTCTCTCTCCCTTCCTCTCTGAAATCAATAAAAATATATTTTTTAAAAAAAGAAGAAGAGAAGGACACCTCTGCTGACTACTCAGAGTTGAGTTAGGGAGAGAAGACTAACAGAACAATTGGAGGACAGAGCTGTACACTCTTGGAATATTATAACTGAATAGCCATTATCTCATTCCCTCAAGAATGACACACCAAAGGCTTGTGACAGTGATATATGATTCTCTTGAGAGTCACCTCTGAATTCTACATGCTGTAGACTGGTGTCTAGCTAGGTGGCCTGCATACAAATTTTACAGCATCCAAATTTCATGGGCGAAATGATATGGCATTTGACAACATGGATGTTTGCAAAAGGCCTCTTCCCTTGTGGATGGTGAGGATCTATTAACCACAGCAGAATAAAAGATGTGGTACAAACTGTACACACAGCAGGAGTTTGAGAAGCAAGAGTTACTATGGTTAGGGAAGACCTCTTGGAGAAGGAGAAATTTCAGCTAAGTTTTGTAGGCTGGAAGGGACCTGGACAAGTATAGCGTCAAGGGAGTAGTCACCCACTTCCAAGTTCAGCATCTCTCCTACCACAAGCCAGCCCACATCTCCATGCCTCTTACGGAACCTCTGAGCCCCTGGGCACACTTCAGTCAAAGTGAGGAAGGCAGATTTCCAGGAATACAAGTCCATCAAAATCCATCAAATCAAAAGCACTGCCTAGTTCCCCACTGCCCATGGATTAGGATGTGCAAGTCTCGCTTCAGCCCAGTCTCACCTCCCAGTTCCATTCCCACTAAGGCTTGGGTTTGACACAGAGCAGCTTCAGAATGACAGCCTAGCTTGTGACAGAAAGAAGGTGGAGCATAGAGCCTGGAGGTCTATACCCATTCCGCAAATGAGGGGATTCTCTTCTCCTCCCCAACATGTGACTCCCAGGTAATCCTTGAAGCATCGAACCCCAATCGAATCTAATCCAGGGCTGTCTGACAGAAATATAATGTAAGCCACATTTATATTCACATATATAATTTTTCATTCTCTTATAGCCACATTAAAAAGTAAAAAAGAAACAGGTGAGATTAATTTTTGCAATACAGTTTTTTGAACTCAATATATCAACAATATTATTTTGAATACCATCATGTAATCAGTGGATCATGTTTGGATCAACATGTAATCAATATACAAAATTTATTGATGAAATAGCTGACAATCTTTTTTGAACTAAGTGTATTTTACACATACATCATGTCACAATTCAGACTAGCCACATTTCAAGTGCTCATTAGCCACATGGGGCCAGTGGCTATGGTCTTGGTCAGCACAGCTCTGACTTGAGACATCTCCATAGGACTGTCCTATTGTCACCTCAATTTCAAGATATTAAACTGGCAGGACTATATTAAATTCAGCTGAGGCCCCAAAGGAAAGAAAAAGGGCCTGGAGTCATCATAATACAGGTTACAAAGCCCATGCATTCTGTTCCTAAAAGGGTTTCATTTCAGAGCCTCTTTACTTGTACTTGAACATACATCTAATGAACTTGGTTGTCTGGTTTCCCAATGCACAGATATTTAGAAGGGGTATGGGAGAAAGTTAGAGCAGGAACACTGAAGACTGCAAGATGTCATAGCTGAAAGCAGAAAAGAGAGAAAAGAGGCACAGCTATCAAACTACCCAGTGCTAATGTACCCATAACATCAACCTCTTAACCCATAACTACATTCGTTTGCATCAATGCCCAGGCTTTCCACTGTCATCCAGATAACAACCCAGAATCTTCAAGATGTAATATGTGACTTCCCAACTCCTTGTTTACATAAGCAATCAAGTATATCCTCATTTAGAAAAGTGCATGTCCACATTAGGAAAAACAGTAACAACAACCCAAATTTGGAGCTTAAACAGCTAAGCTCAATGTAGAGTTGCAGAGTAAGCCTTTGGAGCCTGGCTGATCTGGTTTCAAAATTTGGCTTTGCCACTTATAAGCTATGAAATTAAGCCTCAATTCCCTCATCTGTAAAACGGGTACAACAGTAGCACCTACACTCAAAGGGGTGTTGTGAAGATTAAAAGATGCATATTAAAAGTGCTTAGTAGCAGACATTCACATAGGGGGACTCAATAAATAGTAGCTACTATTGTTCTAATGAAGTCAGTCTTTGCCTACTCCATAACTTCCCCTGGTATAAGTCTTGCTCTATACTGCTGTAGAGTGTTACGTAATATTAGCTCCATATTCTTAACATCAAGTGTTAGGCATTGGCATGAAATTATTCTTTGGGAGCAGGGACTCTCATTTCTCATCCTTAACAGGTGGTATTTCACATGAGCGCCATGAGACCTGACAGAGAGACAGAAAGGCCTTGAAAAATGACCAAAACCTTGGCTGCACCACCCCCACCCCCACCCCATCCTTCATCCAATCAAGCTATTGATCTGTGGGTGCCGTCTCCTCAGAAAAGGTTACAGTGGGCGTCTGAGGCGTGATCCTGCAAGAAAATGCCTTCCCCATCTAGCCCCTACGAATGACAAGAATGCAGTGTCTATGCCCTGCTTCCAGTTCTGAGATCAAAGAATGCCAAAACCAGAAAAGCCTTATCTGATCCCTCACTGAAAGATGAGGAAACTGAGGCACAGAGAGGGCATGTGACTGGCATGGAGTTACTCAGCAAATCTGGAGCAGGGCTCAGATAGAATGTGGGTGTCCTGCTGCAGTCACTTGAACTTCTGCCTCAACCCTTTTGCCACTGAGCCTTTCTTCTACAGGGCTCCCAGCTTCTAGCGAGGTAGAGAAAAGAGAAAAAGCAGGGAAATTGAGGCTAAAGAGACCAGGAACAACTAGCCAGGTAAGAAATTTACATAAGCCTGAGTCCAGAGCTCAGAAATACTAACTGGCCACAGGGTGGATGACTTTCAGTTGCTCCCATCCAATTTCCTTTAATCCAATTCCATTAAATATTTATTGAGCACCTACTATGTGTGGGCACCCATCTAGAATCTTTGAACACATCAATAAACTAAACAAAAACCCTGTCCTTCATGGACCTTATCTTTTAATGGTGGGATATAAGCAAATAAAATGAGAATCTTACATATTTTATGTTAGATGACCATAAAGTCTATGGAAAAAGATTAGGAGTTGAGGGATTTTGCAATTTTAAATAGAGTGACCAGGATAGATCTCACTGAGAAGACATTACAGAAAAGACTTGAAAGAGGTAAGGGAAGCCAGGACTCACCGGACATGTTCAATGAGGCCAGAGTCACTGGAGGGGAGTGAGCAAGAGAAAAAGAGAAGCAGGAGATGAGGTCAGAGGGGCCATGGTGAGGGCGTAGATTACGCAGGGCCTTGAGAGGAAGGACACGCTCACTCTTGCTAATATGTTAAACTAAACAGAAGTGGTGAGGATGGACGCAGGGAGACCGTGAAGAGGCTCTTGCAATAATCCAGGCAAGAGATGATGGAGCAGGTTAGTAGCAGCGGAAGTGGTCAAAAGGTCAGATTCCAAACAAGAAGGTATTGCTGGCAGGATATGCTGACAATCTGGATACTGCGTGTAAGAGAAACAGAAAAGTCAAGGACAACACCAAGGTTTTGAGTCAGAGAAACTGGAAAAATGAAGTTGCTTCCAATTGAGCCGGGTAAGTCTGCATGTGCTAGGGAGGGAAAGCAGAATTTTAGTTTGCACATGTTAGATTCGAGTTACCTTTCACACACCATAGTGGGGTCATCAAGTGGGGCCTTGGGTATTCCAGTCTGGGTTCTGGGAGAAGTCTGGCTGGAGGATTCCATCAGAGATGGAAGTCAAGGCATGAACCTGGTGAGATCACCAAGTGAAGGAGTATGGACTGAGAAAAGAGCGAGACCAAGGAGGGAGAGAGAAGGAGTCAGCAAAGGAGACTGAGGAAGGAACAAAGAAAAAGAAGGGAGTGTGAGGGCTTCCATCTTTGCTCCCTCTCTGCCTCCCTCACAAAAGGGAACCAGAGAGAGCCCCTGCCCTTGATACAAAGTTATCTGGGTCTCAGATCCACTCTGCCTGGAGAAGGCTCAGGGAAGAGGTTGCACCAGGGTACACATTAAAGGACAGGGAGGATTTCACAATTGAAAGGAGGTTAAGTATCCCAGGTATGGGGAACAGAGTGTGAAGAGGCCCAGAGGCAGTAATATACAAAGACCTTTGGGAGTATGGTAAAAAGTCCAGTTTGGCTGAGCTTGGACATGGTGGGGGTAGGAGAATTGTAGGATAAATCAGAGCTGGGGGTCCCTCTTCTGGTTAAATCTAACTTTCTGACTGCCCAGAACACAGCATGGATGGAGCTGGTGGTCCTCTGCTGTCTCCCGAATCCTTCTGGCTGCTGTATGAATCCTCTCTTCTTGTATCACAGAGTCTGGGAGTTATGACCTCCCCAGCCTGAGTTAATGCCCCAGACACCCTGGCAATTTGCTATGTCTGAGGATGACTCGAATACCCTTCAAGCCAAGATGCCAAGAGTTAACTGGGAGTAGGAGAACCTCAGCCACAGGAGGAAGAGATTTTTAACAGCTTCTGGTGATAGAAATCATCCCCAGCCAGCCCTCGGTACCAGTTTATATTTTCTTTCTTTATTTTAATTAAATATCTGTCACTCACACGTTCATGCTTACTGCTCCCTTGTCAGCTACATAGAGGTTCAATTAGGAGGTGTATTGGAAGGAGCATTGGACTGGGAGTCGAGAGCTCTGATCTCCACGCCTGGCTCTGCCCTTAATGGGAGGTGTGACCTTGGGCAAGTCCCTTCTCCTCCCTGAGCCTCAGTTTCCCCAGCTGTAAAGTGAGGGGGCTGCGCCAGTCAGTAAGTGCCTTCTGCTCTGGCCAACTGCAGACTATTAAACTCATGGCTCTTCTTAGGATGTCCCCTGACATCCATGTCTTTAGTCCCTGAGCCTGTTTCAACTGCAGTTCACTAGACTCCCCCTGGAACTCTCATAACCATATGTTCCAAGAGTAATTATCTTCCAATTTCACCTTCCAATTGCATCTTAAATTAACTTTCATTCCTGGGTGCCTGCTGGAATGTCCATGCCAAGCCAGATGATTTCTTAATTAAGCTGCTATTACGCTAGTCCAGTGATCCACAACAGGGCTTATATGGGAAAACAGCATGGGACAGAGGTGGATGAGCATGGGCCCCAGGCTCAGATAGACCTGGACTTCAGTCCCAGCTCTGCCACATACCAGCTGTGTGATCTTGGGCACATCACTTTGCTTCTCTGAGCCTCAGTTTCTTTCTTGGTAACATGGAAGAAATACTCCCTTTTTTCTTAAGGCTTTTGAGAAGTTCAAGGGAAATAACAGACATAAGATGACTAATAAAGTCAACTGGCAAACATTTCCTGTGTACCTACTATGTTAGGCACTAGATAAAAAAGCAGGCTCTCAAGCTGGACAGTCTGTGTTTCAATCCTATCTTGGCTTCCCATTAAGTCAGTCACCATTTAATCCCTGCAGCTCAGTTTTCCCATCTATAAAATGAAGATAGCAATAGTACTCAGCTCATCAGGTAAATATGGAAACCACATTGATACAAGTAAAACACTTAAAGCAGTACCTGATTCATATTAAGTAAGTACCCAATAAATATTAGGTAGTGTTTATTAGTCACTTATAATGTGACAGATACTACAGGCACCTTACAGGCTTTACTTTTTGAATCATGAGGACTCAATGACAAAGATCTTTTTATCCCCATTTTTCAGATGAAGAAACTGAGACACAGAGAGATTAAGTAACCTGCTCAGGGTCACGTAACTAAGTATATGATGGTCCCATGGAGTCTGTGAACCACTATGGTGCACGGCACACAGAAATCATTATGTGAGGTTTCTATTGTTGCCATCACACAGTGGCAACTGCTGAGAATTACTGGGACTACACAGGCCTCTCAGTTGATTTGGGCTCACTCCATCCCCCAGATTCTCAGAGAAGGGAGAGCTCGTCCAAGCCTCAAGCGGGGAAACGTGGGAAAACTGGAACCGCTCTCACCATTGTTTTAAAGCAAGTTTTATTAGGAGTGTAGGAAAAAGCGAGCCCGGCTCTGTCCAGGCTGTGCCAGAACAGGCAGGAGGCGACCTTCTTCCTCCAAGGAGTGGCTGGCTGGGCACTGGGGCCCTTCTCCAGCCTTTTCCAGGCCCACAAAGCAGTACACCTGCTCCTACGTCTCCCCCGCCATCCCGTGACCCCCACTCTGTCCAGGTGTTCGCATGCTCAGCAACAACAGGAGCTGGACCCGGGGAGGCGGCCACACTCCCAAGTCCCCAACCGGCTCCTTGTTCAGGTCAGTCCAGGCAATCTCTCCTGTCTGCATCTCACCGCTAACACAATGACTTTTTTCATTTTAAAGCTTTTAAAAAGAAAACACACACACACACACACACACACACACACACACACACACACACACACACCAGCAGCAGCAGCAGCAGGATATATGGTTCTAAGACAGCCAAAATGGTGGCTTCCTGTTTCTTTAGGGATGTCTGTTTTGGAGTATGGCTTCAGACACGGATGTTGGCTGGGGAGAGGGCTGCCTTTTGCTTAATTCTGAGCAGGAGAGAGAGGAGAGAGAGAGGAGACAGGAGAGAGAGGAGAAAGAGAGGAGAGAGAGGAGAGAGAGAAGAGAGAGAGGAGAGAGAGAAGAGAGGAGAGAGAGCGGAGAGAGGAGAGAGAAGAGAGGAAAGAGAGGAGAGAGGAGAGAGGGGAGAGGGAAATAGAAGAAAGGGAAGAGGGGAGAGAAGAGAGGAAAGAGAGGAGAGAGGAGAGAGGGGAGAGGGAAATAGAAGAAAGGGAAGAGGGGAGAGAAGAGAGGAAAGAGAGGAGAGAGGAGAGAGGGGAGAGGGAAATAGAAGAAAGGGAAGAGGGGAGAGAAGAGAGGAAAGAGAGGAGAGAGGAGAGAGGGGAGAGGGAAATAGAAGAAAGGGAAGAGGGGAGAGAAGAGAGGAAAGAGAGGAGAGAGGAGAGAGGGGAGAGGGAAATAGAAGAAAGGGAAGAGGGGAGAGAAGAGAGGAAAGAGAGGAGAGAGGAGAGAGGGGAGAGGGAAATAGAGAGAGAGACGAGATAGAGAAGAGAGAGAGGAGAGAGAGAGGAGAGAGAGAAGAGAGAGAGGAGAGCGGGAGAGGAGAGAGAGAGGAGAGAGAGGAGAGAGCGGGGAGTGTGGAGAGAGAGAGGAGAGAGAGGAGAGAGCGGGGAGTGTGGAGAGAGAGAGGAGAGAGAGGAGAGAGCGGGGAGTGTGGAGAGAGAGAGGAGAGAGAGGAGAGAGCGGGGAGTGTGGAGAGAGAGAGGAGAGAGAGGAGAGAGCGGGGAGTGTGGAGAGAGAGAGGAGAGAGAGGAGAGAGCGGGGAGTGTGGAGAGAGAGAGGAGAGAGAGGAGAGAGCGGGGAGTGTGGAGAGAGAGAGGAGAGAGAGGAGAGAGCGGGGAGTGTGGAGAGAGAGAGGAGAGAGAGGAGAGAGCGGGGAGTGTGGAGAGAGAGAGGAGAGAGAGGAGAGAGCGGGGAGTGTGGAGAGAGAGAGGAGAGAGAGGAGAGAGCGGGGAGTGTGGAGAGAGAGAGGAGAGAGAGGAGAGAGCGGGGAGTGTGGAGAGAGAGAGGAGAGAGAGGAGAGAGCGGGGAGTGTGGAGAGAGAGAGGAGAGAGAGGAGAGAGCGGGGAGTGTGGAGAGAGAGAGGAGAGAGAGGAGAGAGCGGGGAGTGTGGAGAGAGAGAGGAGAGAGAGGAGAGAGCGGGGAGTGTGGAGAGAGAGAGGAGAGAGAGGAGAGAGCGGGGAGTGTGGAGAGAGAGAGGAGAGAGAGGAGAGAGCGGGGAGTGTGGAGAGAGAGAGGAGAGAGAGGAGAGAGCGGGGAGTGTGGAGAGAGAGAGGAGAGAGAGGAGAGAGCGGGGAGTGTGGAGAGAGAGAGGAGAGAGAGGAGAGAGAGGGGACATAGGAGAGAGAGAGGATAGAGAGGAGAGAGCGGGGAGTGTGGAGAGAGAGAGGAGAGAGGAGAGAGGAGAGAGAGAGAGATCTGGAGCCAAAGGAGAAGCTAGGTGGGGTAAGGGGCGGGCGGGGGAGGGCTGTTTTCAGGGAAAAGGTGCGGCACAGAGGGGTCTGTGTCTTTGCCCCAGCAGATGCAGTTGCAGGGATGGTGAGAGATTTGGAGCCAAATCCCGAATCTCCCATCTAATCCCGTGTTCATTCCACCTGCCGGCCTCCAGCCTTGTGGCCCTCTGGGGTGCTGGGCTCCTCGGAACACACAGCACCTCTTCTGGGATTTGGGCAAGGCTCAGTCACCC